GGAGCCCAGCCCTGACCCCCCCCCCACCCCGTCCCTAACTCTCCAGGGAAGGCCACACTTCCATCGTGGAAGAACTGAAGGAGACGCTGAGTGCAAAGCCGGGGGCCATCGCGCTGTCGGTGGGTGGCGGGGGCCTGCTGTGCGGAGTGGTCCAGGGGCTGCAGAAGGTGGGCTGGGGGGACGTGCCCGTCATCGCCATGGAGACCGCCGGAGCCCACAGCTTCCACGCCGCCACCACCGCGGGCAAGCTCGTCTCCCTGCCCCAGGTTACCAGGTGAGCAGCGGGGCCCCCTCCGGCGGATGTTCAGCAGGCCTTGGGAAGCCCACCTCGGTGCCCGCTGCGAGGCAGAGCCCCGCTACCCGTCCCATTTTACAGACGAGGAAACTGAGGCTTTCCACGTGCCCAGAGTCACACGGCCAGAGAGTGGGTCTGCTGGGACCGAGCCCAGGTCTGTGTGACTCTGTAGGATGAACGTCACATTTCTTCACGTGAAGAGTTCACTGTTAATCACGGACCGAGGCCCCTGCCACAGGGTTTTACACCCCTCGTTAATCTGCCAAATGGTTGGCCCCTAATAGGGGCCAGTCTGAGCCCCTAACAGGTGCAAGCATTGCCGATCCCGGGGACAGGGTGGTGAACAAACACAGCCCCTGCTCCTAAGGAGTTCATATTCCAGCCCCGAACCTTTGACAGATGGTATGTAATTAGGATTAGGTTTGGCACGTTATACAGGAGGCCCAAGTAACAGTGACTTAAACAAAATGGAGCTTTACTTCCTCTCTATAAAGTGAAAAAAATGTCTAGAGGTACACAGTCTCGGGGCAGGGAGCTCCCTGAAGCCAGGGGTCCAGGTTCCTCGAGTTTGTTCTCCATCATCCTCATCATGTAGCCTTACAGCCCAAAAGGGCTGCCTAAGTGCCAACTGTCACACCCACGGTCCATCTGGCCAGAAAGAGCCATGCCCCCTGCCTTTAAAGACACAGTACTTCCACTGACCTCTCACTGGCCAGCATTTAGTCACATGGCCACAACTACTGCAGGGGAGGCTGGGAAATGTCTTCCTATCGGGTCTCCACGTGTGCAGCTAGAACAGATATTGGGTAGACAGGTCCCTACCTCAGATAGGGAAGACTGAGTCCAGGTGAGACCTCCTTGTGGATTCCTGAGCCTGGTACCCAGCAGCCACCATGTTGGCCTCTGATCCTGCGCCGTAGGCATTGAAATAATGGCGGAGTGCCTACCACGAGTCACGTGCCAGGGCTCAGGGCTCAGGTGGTTCAGGCTGCAGGTGCTCATGGGAGACGTGAGCTGGGAATAAAGCCGACGATGACTCCAGGGAGGGCGGGGAGAAAGACAAGGCACCGATTACGCGTGCAGGTCCCAGGGTTACGTGGATCCTGCTCCGGGTGCCCACACCACCACTCCCTGAACACATAACCGTGGGCCAGTGACCCGCGTGCTCTCTGCCTGGGTTTCCTCTTCCACGGAATCGAACCAGTGGAATGGCAAACACAGCCGTGAGGATTTAAAAATGCGCATAAAACGGGTGGTACCTCATACTCCCTCGAGAAGGGGTCGCTATGTCTGTTTATGGGGGAGGACCGACCGTTTGAGAGTTCCGTCCGGAGACAGGCACTGGGGTCCCTGGGGGACTCCTTGGAGGAGGTGGCCTTAATCCTGAGCCTTGAAGGACAGGGCGGGACTTGGACGGGCAGAGTGGTGCCCAGCTTAGGGAGGGTCGAGCAGGTGGCGTCCTTTCAGGGAACCGCAAGGGGGCTTTTCCGTCCACGTGCATCAGGATAGGCTATTTACCCCACTCACGCCTCCGCGTCTTATGAGACCTCACTCTGACGGGGAGCCTCTGGGGCCTTTCAGTGCTTTACAGCCACAGAGGGCATGCCCCGCGCCCCTGCCCGTGGACCCCACTTCCCTCCTCCCTCTCAAATCCATTTGTCTCTTTCTATCCCTCCTCGTCCCGATCTCTGCCGCCTTCCTCCCTCCTCTTTTCCCCCGTTCCGGCCTTCTTCTCCATCACCACCTCTCCCAGTGTGGCCAAGGCCCTGTGCGTGAAGACCGTGGGGGCTCAGGCCCTGAAGCTGTTTCAGGAACACCCCATTTTCTCTGAGGTGATCTCGGACCAGGAGGCTGTGGCCGCCATTGAGAAGTTTGTGGGTATGTGCCAAGTCCTTCCAAGCCCTGCCGGCTCGGGGACTAACTGGTGACCTAACAGATCCCATTCACGACAAATTTTCCTCACAGTTCTGTCTCCCACCCCTTGCTAGAACTTCCCGTTAATGAAAGATAATACAAGGCAGCGGTATAACTAGAAAGGCCAGAGCCACAAGTGAAGAGGACTGATAACCATGATAGCAGGGAGCTTCCTGGTAGCCAGGGTGAAAAAGGAAAGCCAACCCTAGGGTTGGCTTCAGAAGTGGGTCTGTGATGCGGTTGGACTCTTTCTGGGTTCAGCCTAGGACAGGGACCACACACACGCACACACACACACACACACACACACAAAAGGGAGCACTTAATCCTCCTGTACCAGCCGGCAGTTTGGCTAATCAACCATGGCGGTCTTGCTCAAGTGACGGCCCAAGCCTTCTCAACACAGTGCTCGGGCAGTTAACATGCATCGGTGGGAGCGCTCCGGGTGAAACCTAGCCCTGCCTCAGGGTTCCGAAGGTCAACTAGGATAGCGATGGGAGGTTTGGTGCCCAGACTCCTAGCCCCGAGTCTTTCCCAGGGACCCAACAGTCCCCTTGCCCCCCGCGGAAGCCAGGCCCCACCCTCATCACCCCCTCCTCTGGCAGATGACGAGAAGATCCTGGTGGAGCCCGCCTGCGGGGCGGCCCTGGCCGCCGTGTACAGCCACGTGGTTCAGAAGCTTCAAGCGGAGGGGAAGCTCCGTGCCCCGCTGTCCTCCCTCGTGGTCATCGTCTGTGGCGGCAGCAACATCAGTCTGGGCCAGCTGCGGGCCCTCAAGGAACAGCTGGGCATGAAGAACGGGCTGCCCAAGTGAGGGCCTTTCTCCGCCACCGGCCTCCCCTACCCGGGGCGGGGGTGGGGGGTAGGTACCCCCGGGTGAGCTGGAGTTTTATCCAGCGTCTCACTGTAAATATTATTCTTGTGTCTGCCGGTGAGCCTGCGGCCCCGACCGGCGGTTCCTTCGGTTCCTTCTGGGCCGAGGGGCCGAAGCCCCAAGGTGGGGGACGGGTCGGCCGCCAGCGAGGCTGGATCTGAACCTCTCCGGCGTCTCCGCGCGACTATCCTGGCCACCCCTGCTAGGCGACGGCTGCCCGCGTGTCCCCTACCAGGTCCCCAGGGCGGGGTGGGCCCCCTCCCTGGAGGGGGCCATGGTCGGGGCCAGGGGCCAGAACTGAGAACCAGCTGCCCCCCCCCAAGCCCCGCCCAGCCCCGCCCTCAGGCGTTTTTCTAATTGCAGACTTTTTCGTTGAAAAAGAAAACAATATATTTATGGACTGAAGGTCCTTTGGGCTCCTCCTCCATCGCAGTCGGCCTCCCTCCCCTCCCCCACCCCACTCGCCCGCTCGCGGCCTCGGCTCTCAACAGCGAGCTCCCTGCACCCTCACCCCTGTAACGTCGGGGCCCCGAGGACACGGAGGCCAGGACCCTGCGCGCAGCTGGGCTCGCGCGCCCGGAGACAGCGAGCAGGAAGCTAGGAAGGGCGCTGAACCAGAGCTGGGGCAAAGGGCGGCCTCCACTGGAGGCGGAACCAGCCGGAGAGGCGGACGAGGCTTCGAATGACTTAGCACAGAACCGCTGGGAGCAGAGCAGCGAGCCCCCTACCGGTGGGGGTGGGCAAAGCTACACCGACCGGACACCCATCTCCGGGGTAGGGGAAGGGGCGGACTTGAAGAGAAGGTCACTCAAACCACGACACCCGTCTTCCGAGGAAAGCGTGGGCGGAAGCCAGCGAACGAAAACAGACCGAGGAAGCCCTGCCAGGGCTCCCCGAGGTCCGAGAGGGGCACCCACGCTGCTCACGGGCATCCCTGCGCCTCCGGCAGCAGCCTCAGGCAATTCATTGAATCCCCAAGGTCAGGGTGAAGCTTGAGACCCCCCCGGAACCCCTCAGGACACGATGCGGCTCCCTCCGCAGAGTCCCACCCAGCCGAGCAAACAGCAGGGGCTGTGAGATTCAGGGGAGAGTGGGGACCCCACCCCAAGCCCGCCCGGGACACAGGCCCATGCCCCGATTTCCAGCCAGGAGGGGCACACATGTATCTTACAGGGGACGGAATACCAAGGAAGGGCTGGAAGAACAGCATACCAGCAGCCCCCGGGCCGCACAATTCTTCCCCCAGGGGCCAGACTGCGACTAAAATAGCGCTCAGTTTAAGAAAACCTGCCCAGAACACTGGATTGCTTCCAGCCTCCACTGTCCCGCCTGTGTCGGCACAAAGCCCCCAAAAGAGGCGAGGCAGACCCCTCCGCCCACTACAAGAGCTGAGGCGCTGAGGGCTGGGGTCCACCAGCCGGCTAAGGTCAGAAGGTGACAGGCTCTGTTTCGTCTTGTGTAGTACCCCACAGTGGAACTTGGGAAAGTCTTGTTGGCTCAGAAGGCCCCAGGACAGGACCCAGAACAAAGTAGGTGCTCAATGAACATCTGGATGGATGGATGGATGGATGGATGGATGGATGGATGGATCTATGGATGGGTGGCTGGCTGGCTGGGTAGGTGGGTAGATACAGATAGGAGGGTTGGCAAATGAATAAATGGATAGGTGGATAGACAGAAGAATGCACAAGAGAATGCAAGAGTGGATGGTCTAGAACCCAAACCACAGAGGAGAAAAGGCAGCAACCCAGCTTTCCCCACTGCCCCAAAAAGCACAGCACAGGGGCCACGGCCTCTCATTTAATGGCAGCACAGCCTGCGATTTGGTTCCTACAGCAGGGGAGCTGTGGGCACGGCCCAGAGGCCAAGGGCAGGCCCAAGCTGGGGGGCAAGGGGCAAGAGGCTGCAGCCAACGAGGCCAACGAGGCACACTCACACCCCCGCAGCCACAAGTCACCAGAAACTTTGGTTTTTGTTTGTTTTCAAGTTTCTGTCCTCAGGGAAGCCGCCCAGGAGGGAAACCAGGGGGCTGCTTCCCGAGGGGGGCAGGGGCGGGAGGTGGCAGGACGGATGCCAACCAGAGGCAACGCCCAGGTCTCGGGGCCGAAACCCCACAAGCTCCAGAGCCACCGGCAGGAATGACACCAGGAGGCAGGGACCCAGACAGTCCCCCGCTGCCCCAGCAGGGGCCCCGAACCCCACCCGAGGACCCCTCCCAAGCCCTCAGGAGGGGGCAGCATGAGGACAGGGCCCCAGGCCGGGGGAGAGAGAGAAGCAGACAGGGCAGAGAGAGAGGTGCAGAGGCAGGGGACAAGGGCGGCACTCGCCCACTTACGGAGAGCGAACGAGTCAGTGCTGGGCCCCGGCGGGCCTCGTGTCCCACCTAGGAGACGACCCAGATGAGAGTAACCCTGGCAGACCCGGGTCCCACATCTGGGCACAGCAGGTGACGAAGCCCACGGAGCGGGCGGGTGGGACGTCGGGGCAGCGGCCTGTGGTGGCCCGCGGGGGTCGGTGGGGCCGAGACGGGGCTCAGTCCCACCGCACCTCGATGGGCGAGAACTTCCAGAGGTCGGGCTGGCCCATGTGCAGTAGGCCGCTGAAGGGCGAGGCGCTCCACTGGAACGGGGGCAGCTGGTCCCACGTGGGGCCACTGGCCGCCACAAGCTGAAAGGCCTTGGCCAGGGCCATGCTGGTCACCTGGGGGCCAGGGCAGAGGCCGCTGAGCACCAGCCCAGGCCGGGCCCCGAGCCGCCCCAATCCGGAGGGCCCCGACCCCCGGCCCTAACTCTGACCCCCACCGCAGCCCAGCGCCGACCCTGCCTCCTGTCCTGCCATCCGCTTTGACCTGAGCCGTCACCACCGCCCTCCCCCTTCCTCCCCAAGCCCACCCCAGCCCCCAGGCCCAGGGCGGGGCCGTACCTTCACATCTATGCCCCCGTGGGAGCGCTGCTGCAGGGCCTGGAAAGGGTAGGAGCCGTTGGCCGGGTTCAGGTCGGAGCGGGCCGAGATGGCATTCTCTGCGTTGGCCTGCGGGCTGCACGCTTTGCACAGTGACAGTGGGTCGTGCAGGAAGTCGTTGTACCTGGATGAGGGAA